CGGAGCGGCTGGTAGTTTCGAACCGCTGACCTTAAGGTTCGCAGCCCGATTCGTAACCACTACGCTACCAGAGCTCCTTAGTGGTGGAGTATTATGGTGTATGCTTATAGGTTGGCTATATGGCCACGACTGCTGTTTCTTCTTAGGTGATGTAGGGAGGAAAAGCTCCCACAGAAAGATGTGTGATCAAAAGGACCAAAAGCAGAGGTAATATAAATGTATGGACAGAAATCACCACTTTGGAGCAGAGATGTGGCTTTGGTTAACTTTTTCGTGCTACACCATCAGTGTGTGTGCAAATAGAAGCCTCCGGCAGGGGTGGGAGTAACCCCTCTTTCAGGTCTCTCCTCTAGCCACTGCCGTATAGGAGACCAGATGTATATTGGGGAGTTAATGGGACAAAGTTCTACCGCTATTTTTGTCTCTGGTTGTCAGTTTTCTGCCTATGCTCAGTGTCAGTCTTGGGATGGTTGAGACCTGTTCTGTTGGGATTTTACAGGTTGTCTTGAGTTTGTCCTACCCAGCAAGTAGCTGGAGTTTTTAATCTTTTCCCTGTTCCACCAGAAGAGTATCTGGAAGATGCCTGTTGCTATTTGGGAGTTGGGGCAGGGCAGCCTAGATTCAGGGCTTCAGATTTGGGACAGCCGATGATGGCACAAGTCGCCCGCTCTCTCCCTCTCTCTGTGCTGTGGGTAAACTGTCAAACTGTCCTGCCTGATGATCTCGCTGGGATCTTAAACCAGGGCAGGGAGATTTTGTGGGAAGATAGTTATGTAGCTTCTTGCGGCTTTGTTTGTTCTGGTTCCCCCACCCCCCCTTTTTTTTCCTTCCTGCTAGAAACGCTGCTTTCCAATCGGGCAGTCACAGGTATGACCCACCTTCACGTGGGTGAGAGTCCCAAAACATCACCTCCTCTCTCTCTCTTTCTTTTTGTGCGGTGGGTAAACAGTCCTGACTGTTGATCACACTGAGATCTTAAGCCAGGGCTGGGAGATTTTGGGGGAGATAGTTACGTCGCTTCTTGTGGCTTTGTTTGTTCACCCCCTTTTTTTTCTTTCTTCCTTCTGGAAACACTGTTTTCCGAATGGGCTGGCCTTAGCCCCACCCACTAAACTCTGTGGTCGCCAGAGAAACCCACGTCCCACTGGCGAGAGTCCCCAAAAGCCTGTTTTTTTTGCTTAGCAGTGTGATTTCTCAAAAATGAGAGTTTGGGAGACCAAAATACTAGCTCTTATGATAGTTCGAAAGCCGTGGGTCTGGTATATGAACATTCCCTTTGTGAGATCCCCCTCTGTTCTCACTGGAGCTTTCCCTACTTGGCTGCCCTTGCTGTAGACCGAACCAGAATCTACAATGTCTTCTTTTATTATAGCTCTCTTTAAGTTTTCCACTTCATTCTGTGTTAGTTTCAGTTGGTTGTGTTTTTCTATAAATTTATCCATTTCTTTTAGATTTTCAAATTTGCTAGAGTACAGTTCTTCATAGTATTCTGTTATCCTTTTAAATTTCCATTGGCTCTGTTGTGACATCCCCCATATTGTTTCTTATGCATGTTATTTGCATCTTCCCTTTCTTTTGTCACTTTTATTAATCAGTTCAAATAATTAATTTCTTGCCTTGTTAATTCTATTGTTTCTCTATTTTTTGTTTCATTTATCTCTGTGCTAATGTTTATTATTTATTTTCTTTTGATGACTGTAGGTTTACTTTGCTACTCTTTTTCTAATTTTTGGAGCTGTTGCACTAATGTGTTGGTTTGGTTCTTTCTTCTTTTTGGATGTGTGCATTTATTGCCATAAATTGCCCTGTAAGCACTGCTTTTGCTGTGTCTCAAAGGTTTTGGTAAGTTGTATTTTGGTTCACACTTGATTCATGGAATTTAAATTTTTCAGTTTTTATTTGATCTATTACCCAATAGCTTTTAAGTAGGGTGTTATTCAATTTCCATATATTTGATTTCCCCCCTTTGATCTTCTAATTGTTGATTTCTAATTTTATAGTATTGTGTTCTGAAAAAATACTTGGTAGAATTTCAGTGTTTTAAAATTTATTGTGGCTTGCTTTGTGGCCTATTCTGGAGAATGCTCCATGTGCACTGAAAAAGAATGTGTATCATGCTGCTGGGTTGAGTTTTCTGTATAAGCCTATGAGGTCAAGTTGGTTGATTGTGTTGTTTAGTTCTTCTGTCTTTGTTGATTTTTTTTTCTAGTTGCTCTGTACTTCAACTAAAGTGGTGTATTAAAATCTTAAAATTTTGTAGAGTTGTTTCTTTCTTCAATTCTATTTGAGTTTGATATGTATTTTGAAACTCTTTGATTGGGAAACTAGATATTATGGCAATGTCCTCTTGTTCAAATGACATTTTAATCATGAGGTAATGTCCTTTATCTCTTATGATGGTTTTTGCCTTAAAGTCCATTTTGTGAGAAATTAATATTGCTACTCCTGCTTGTTTTTTATTGCTGTTCGCTTGATATACTTTCCCTCATTCTTTGATTTTTAATCTATTTTTTCTTTTTGTGTAAGGTGTGTCTCTTGTAGACAGCATATTGAAGGATCTTGTTTTCTTATCCATTCTGCTACTCTCTGTCTCTTGGCTGGTA